GCATCTGCGCGTCTGCATAATCCGCTGGGACTGCCGAGCCCATGTGTTCCGCGAGGAGGCGCGCCACACTTCCGTAGAAGAGTTATGGGTGGCGCGTGGGCTCGTTCGCGTCCGCGACGAACTGGATGCACTTTTCCATATCGGCACCGGACAGGGCCAAGAACTTGCCTTCGGGCACGGTGGCCACCAAGGCCTGCACGGCTGCTGACTCGAGCGGCATGACCTCTCCTGCAGACTCGACACAAGCAAGGCGGACGTGTGTAGGAAACACGAGGTGACGTCGACAATGCTTGGAGCCTATGGCAACGGATCGCGACTGACACGGCCATTCCCTCTGTGGGACATGGGCGCACATTACGTTCCTGCCTCACGAGCACCCCCACCTGCGTCCAGCAGCCAGTTTTCCGATCGCGCCCAGCTGTCACAACGGCACGTCGGCCGCTTGAGCCCCAGCACGAAGGAAGGAAGGTGAGAGAGTCCTCCGCTCCGCTCCGCCTACCATGGATGCAAATCCGCACAGCTCACGCTGCTGCACATCCCGGCGACCCCCCTTTGACGTCCATCGCGGCCAAGGGGGGCCACTCGGGTCACTTCAGGCGAGACCATGCAAGCTACAGCGGTGCCACGCCGATCCCAGTCGAACCCCTTTGACCGCTCTGCGGCCAGGGGAACTACATGGGTCTCCCTGCTCCTCCCCCTCCGCCGGGCCAGAGTGAGGAGGGAGCCATTTCAAGCGCAACGAGGCCCGTTTTGGCCAAGATGGCTGCGCGCGAGGGGGCTTCCGCTCATCCCACGCTAATGCGGACGAACGTCGTCGCCCTGAAATTTTCAGGACTGCCCGACAATTGTGCCTGGGAAATCCGTCCGCAGCGGACCGAATTTCCAGTTGCCCGTGCCCAAATTTCACGAGCTACACCAGAATTTAATTCTGAGCTCCCTGGTGAAAGGGCGTCAGCATGGATATTACCATTACGCGCCATTTGGGACGCAGGCCCCCCGGGGTCGGTCGAGGACGGGAGTGATGCACAAGTGCAAAGCACCCCCGCCCCCGTTGCGTGCAGGTGGGGGGTTAGCCAATGCCCCCCCATCAAGGACTAGCTTCTGCCGCCTGCACACATCCGACCCCGAGTGCCCAGAGTGTCCGTAGCCCGTCTTTCTGGCTCGTGCGGTCCTCGCCCCCAGACAGATATTCTAGGCCCACCAACGCCGGCAACGGCAGAGTCGCACACAAGTGCAACCTCTCCCAGGCAGGTCAGAACCTGCCAAATCACTCAAATGTGGACCTGGGCGCGCGAGTGCATGAGACAGCAAAACGGCACTCTGAACGAAAACTGGAGCGAATCGCAAATTGCGAATTTGCGTTCGCAGATGCCTGACGCCTTCGCGTCAGATCCAGAACCGCACAGAAACTGTTGCCACGTGGGGCAGAAAGCGCGGGATGCGACAAAAACGCGCCTGGGGCGCACCACGGGGCGCCACCTGGCCAGCAACGACCCTCTAGCAGGGGCCGTCGCACCCGCAGCTGCACATGCACCACCTGTGCCGGACAGCAACGGACCCGACCAGGAAGCGCAGATGCCCCTGCCGGCCGGGCCGTAGCGGATCCGACGGGGAGACCAAAGCGGACCCAGCTGGGCACTGCGATGCCGCTGGCTGGACCCTGGCGGACCCAACGGGGAAGCACAGCTGGCCGTACCCAGCTGCGCATGCAATGTGGGAGCCCACCCCCGCCGGCCGGACCGTAGCAGACCCGACGGGGAGGCCCAGCTGGCCGGACCGTAGCAGACCCGACGGGGGGCCCAGCTGGCCGGACCGTAGCGGACCCAGCTGGGCATGCAACATGGGAACCCCTCCCCGCCGGCCGGACCGTAGCGGACCCGACGGGGAGGCCCAGCTGGCCGGACCGTAGCGGACCCAGCTGGGCATTGCAATGCAATGTGGGAACCCCTCCCCGCCGGCCGGACCGTAGCGGACCCGACGGGGAGGCCCAGCTGGCCGGACCGTGGCGGACCCAGCTGGGCATGCAATGCAATGTGCCCCTCCCGCCAGCCGCGTCGTAACAGACCCGACGGGGAAGCCCACCTGGCCGACCGTAGCCGACGGGCATTCGATGCATCGCGCGCAAGACAGCCACAGAGAGCGCAGAAGTGAGCTTGAGCACGCACTCAGAGCCACCACGGCGGGCTAGCGGTGAATGACTGGGCCACCCTGGCCACTGCTGCAATGGACCCAGCGGGAGGCACCGCACAAAGCGAACGCGACCAGGCGACGAGAACCGCAGACGTGGCGAACGAGAGACCCTGCAGGAAGCCGCCGGGGCCCAGAGCCCCAGCCCGGCATAGCCGCGGCACACCCCGCAGGGACAGACGAGGCACGCGCACTGGACAGACCAAGTCCGCCAGGAGCGCGCCTGCGTGGCCACGGCGAACGTGGCGACGAGGACGCCGGGAACTTGCTACCCCGCCCCCGCGCCGGGCGGCAAACCACAGAACACCGACGACACGCGCCAACGCCGCCGCTCCTACTGGAGCCAACCAGGCCATGAGGAAACCATGAAACTCCCCAAACGAACCAAACGACCAACCGTGGGAAACTACGGCCGAAACGCCGATTTTCCTCCCCACGAAAGAACCTTTAGGGGGTAAGAAAATCAATGATTTTTGCCTCGGGGGGCCTTCTTGGGAGTGCTCTTGGAGGCCTCTTTTGGGCCGTCCTGGAGACCTCTTGGGCCATCTTGAGGTCACGTCGGTCACTCTTGGAGCGCTCTTGTGCTGTCTAGAGGGTCTCGGACGTCCCCGATGACTCCCCTGATCGCCCTAGGCGTGCTGGGAAGGCTTGGCAAAACGCCCTGCGAGGCCCAGTGGCCGCTTCGAGGCCCGTCCGGAGGGTCCCAAAGCCCCAGATCCGGGGAGTCCGGTTTTTGGGGGAGGGGACGGGTTTCCCCCCCGCCCGGGCTTATAGAAATATCGGAAGAGGAACATAGATAGACAGGTACGGCCCCATATTTGCATACACATGCGTATAAACAGGCACTACCAACATCGCATGCGCACGTGCGTGAATGTCGTGTTTTCTCAGGAGGAAAAGAAACACACAGACACAATTAATCCTCGATTTCCCAGAAAATATGGGAAATTATTCACTGAGTGGGGATCCCCATATGTACATCTCCTTGCTGGCGCTCCCTTGGTGGTGGGACTCGGTGAGGACGAATCTGGATTTAAGTGTGACTGAGCTGCCTCTCTCTCTCTCTCTCTCTCTCTCTCTCTGCTCTCTCTGTCTCTCTCTCTCTCTCTCTCTCTCTGCCCTCTCTCTGTCTCTGCCTCTCTTTCCCTGCCCCTCTCTCTCTCTCTTCCTCTCTCTGCCTCTCTCTCTGTCTCTCTCTCTCTCTGCCTCTCTCTCTCTCTCTCTGCCTCTCTCTCTGTGCCTCTCTCTCTCTGCCTCTATCTCTGCCTCTCTCTCTCTCTCTCTCTCTCTTTCCTCTCTCTCTTCTCTCTATGCTCTTTCTGCTCTCTCCTCTCCCTCTCACTCTCCCTCTCTCTCTCTCTCTCTCGCTCTCTCTCTCT